GGCAAATTATAATTAGTTAAGGAGACTTATTAAATTTAATCTATGTGCTATTTATGCAGAGATTTTGCATGTGGGCTTGTATGGGCCCATAAATGTGCTACTTAAAAGGGCAGAAGTTATACAAGATGATTATTGGTTCAAAATTCCTTAACCAAAATAATCTAAATCATCACTTATTACTCAAAATTTAGCAATTTTTTTTAAAATGTCAATATTTTAACATTTAACAGGACTGATTGTCAACACTTTCAATATTTAGTAAAAATATCAAATTTTTAATTTATCATGTATCTATTGAAGTTTTTATTATTTGTTTTAATTTAAAGAATACAATTGCTATAAATAAAGAAAGGGAGAAATTTAGGTGAGAGAATTTTTGAAAAAAGAACAATTGCTTAAAAGTTTCATCAGTTATAAAAATTCAAAACTATATATAATTTTTTTTTTAAAAAAAAAACACCAAAGAGAGAATCATCCTACTTGTTCATCAAATTTATAGTATCGATTTTTAAATTTTCATTGATAATACTCAATTTTTGTTGAAATAAATTTAATTAAATCACTTTTTAAATATCCAACCACGACTTCATTAGATCAGATTTTAGAGCAAAAATCCACTTTCGTAAAGAAGAAGAAGAAAAAAAAAGAGAGAATCACAGGAGAAGGTTGCAAAGAAAGAGAGAATAGAGAAGAATGTTGCAAAAATTGTATTCATATTAATTTTTGTTTGTCAATTATTTTTCTTTTACTCAACATTTATATTTTTATAAAGAAGAGTGTATTTTTCTTTAGTTTATAGTAATTCCAGTAGGTGTGCAACTTAATTTGTATTTCCTAAACTTAGATGTATCCTATTTCTTTCACAGTCAATTTGTATATTTTTTTCAGAATTTGTCTCTTTTTTTTAATTGTATTCATATGTATGATTAGATTATATTGTGATGCAATGAGTAATATTTTTGTAATATGAATAAAAGAAAAATATATTTGGTTGTTATGTAATACAATTTTAATCACACAAATACAATTTATAATTTTCACTATATGATAAAGTGAGGACATAAAATACAAAAATTGTTGATACACAATTATGATAAAAACATAATAAAAAAGAAATACAAACTTGTTATTATTGAAATTGAGATTGAAATATGAAATGAGCACAATAAATACTCATATCAATTGAAATACAAAATTGATTTTGTTTGTATGTCATTATGATGAACACACACAAAAAAAACTTTTCTGAATACAACGTGAGAGTTAAACACAAAAATAATCACAGTAAAATACGCAACACAATATGATATTCAATTTTAATTTGAATGGTAAAGTGAGAACAAAAAAATATAAAAGTTGTTAGTATTCAATTATGATGAAAACATAATAAAAAAGAAATACAGACTTGTTGTCATTGAAAAATGAGATCGAAATACAAAAAGAGCACGATAAATACCCATTTCAATTGAAATACAAATGTGACTTTATTGGTATATCATTATGATAAATATAAAATTTAAAAAGTAGATATTGTTTGTATATAAAGTGATATTGAAATACAAAACAAGCAAATTAAAATATAAAATTGTCGTTATTTTTGTTCCAAGTAGAAATTGTGATATTGAAAAATAGAAAATTATTGATTAAGTTTAATACCTATAGAAATTCTCTTACAGTATTTCATTGGAGAGTGATTTAGAGTATATCAAACCCTAATTGTGATTTCAACTATAAATAACAATTTTAAACGATTTAAACAAAAATAAAACCATAAAATAAATCTTAAAAAACGGATAAAGATGAGTGTGAATCTCTTCATAAAATATATTTTTTAATTTTTGGAAAAACAAAAAAGAAAGAAGAGAGAGAGAGGCGGGTTTTAAAAAGGAGAAGAATTAGTAGATGAAAATATGTTGCGACAAAAAAAAAAAAAAAAGAAGAAGGATGAAAATATGAAAGGGAGAAAATATTTCCTTTAATTTAAACATATGATATAGGATTAATTGAAAAATGTGTAATTAAGGTGAGATAAAATAGAAAGTAAATTAGAATACAAAATCTTTTTCAAAATAATGACATTTTGACCTTTCTATTAATATTTATAAGTATATAAAAAAATTTTACTAATTAAGTTAGATTTTTTGACTAGTTTACTAATTTTTTCTTTTTCCTTTCCTGAAGAACAATTTCCTCTTTGTCGGATTGTCAGTCAAGAATTTCATTGACATTTCAATAGTAGCTTCTGTAGGATTTCTTTGTTCGTTTTCATTTATGTTTGTTTCAATTGCTGTATTTACTTTTAAATATTCATTTTGAATTAGAAAAGATAGAGTTTTGGAGCAAATTTGATTGTGATTTTCGGTTGATTTATATACAAAATTATACATTTTTTTATACAATATTGATATATCATACATAGAACTATTTTGGTTGAAAATAATTTGTCATTTGTTCATGTCACCCCTGAGCCTAAACCCTAGACGTAATCGGCATTTGGAGACTATTGAAGGCATCAAGAGAACCCTTGATTTAGCTAACTATGGTAGACATTACTCTATAGATACACAAAAACTTTAATGAATGAGCATTTAAATCATTTAAAATTTTTTAAAACACTCTCTGAAAATAATCAACATAAATAATAACTTTTCGATAATACATCTGAGAAAATATTAGAAACTGTCTAGCTCTGTTTGTCCATGAAACCTCTAAAGTATCAATATCAGTGGTGTAGCAAGACTCACAACACCTTACAAAAGATTAGGCTAAAACCAAATAATGAACTAGAGTCCTCTGGAAGTAAGAATGTCTCACCAAAAGCTAGGCCTCCGGAAGTAAGAATATTTCACCAAAAGCTATCAATAAGTACAATGATCTCAGCGAAGCGCCTATTAATGATTCATAATATTTGTATTTGCATCATAAAACGATGCATGTCGAATGATATCAGTACGTTGAATGTATAGTATGTAATATGATAGAATAAAACAAGTACAATACTGAAGACTAAAGAAACTTAACTGAATCAAGACATAAATATGATATGAGAATCATTTATGCTTTACAAAGGATATGAAAATAATAAGCTTTACGTTGTTGGGGAGTTTTTCTCACCAACAATCATTAATATGAGCCTAACAATAATACAATGTCCTATTCACGTAGTCAGAGTCATCCTATACTTTGCCGAGGTATATGATAACAATTATAATTTGTGGATCCATCAATATGCCTTCTCAAGAGGCAGTGAGGAGTCACCCTAAAATTGATACGACCAACAGTGGCTTATGTAGTTTATGGGGCTTGATTTAAAATGAACTCTTAACCTAAATCGTAATTAATATTACTTTCAAAATAATTAATATCAATTATTCTCAATAAACTTTTTCACGAAAAGGATATCCCAAATGTGTTATCTAGCCAAAAATTTCACGAAGAGTGTCGAAGTGCTAAAATGAGAACTTGCTCTTCTTAAACAGTGAAAAAAATTGCTAATAGTGAGATTCAGACACACGAACACTTTAAGTTCGTGTGTCAAGACGCTTGAAAAATCACTAGGCTACATCATATTGGTATTTCAAGAGTATCCAAAATGTGTTATTTAGTCATTTTGTTTATTATATTACTGATATATACAGTATCATTTTTCGACAAAGGGTGCTCAGTCGGACACCTGACATAAGGGTGGCTATGACACTAGTCATGGTCCTTCTAATAACTCATCATATGCTGGGTGATATAATCTTTTCAAATTGACCTTAGTAAAATTTTATTTCAAAACTCATTTGGTAAGGAAACTTTCAACTCAACTTTGTGCAAATAAGAGATTCTTGTGACCTTAATTCATTTCCAAATCTATTCTCTCGTTAAAGAGTTGACCTTACACATAAGCATGATTTAAGAATCACCCGATACGATCTCGTACCAAAAAATAACCAGATCTTAACTTAAAGATTCTCGTGATGTTACAATTCAATTACTTAATTGACCCTTTAATAAGTTCAAAATCGCATGGAAGTAAAAACTTTACGAGGCGTTCTATTTTCGGACTGCCAATTAAGTAATTTCTGGTTCAACTTTTTTTTTATAGCATCTTTTAACTAGCCATTTTGACTTTAAAAGGTTTTTTAATAAGACATTTTTTACCTTTTCATTCTATTTATTTTATTTGTGTGAGATTTTCAGTACGAGTTTTGCATCGTCTCCATTTTCCAATCGTAATTTTAACTTGTTTGTTACCAAAGTTTTCTCATTGTTCAAGGTTTGTAAATAGGACAAGTGGCAACCATTTATTTTTCTTTACTTTGAATAATAAGAAAAAGACTAAATTAGTAACATCTTTCTTAGTTGTCTGAACTTTTAAACAAGGAAAAAGACATAAATTTTCCCTCAAACTTGTATCGAAAAGTCAGTTTCACACTTTAACTATTATGATGATCTATTACACATTTTTACTATTTAAAAGTGAATTTTATTTTATCGAAAAATGATTTCGAAAAGAGTTTGTTTTATTTTTAAAGATATTTTCGACTTTTAGGAGTCGCCACTTAATTTTGAAAAAAATTAAGAAAACTTGCTTTCAAATAATTAAACAAGAAATCGTTTGAAAACTTTTAAGGGTTCAGGATTCTTATTAGTGTCTTAGGAAGGTGTTGAAGGCACCTAAGACACTCCGTTAAATACGGTTTTCCGGCGATTAACTCTACTTGACTATTTTGTTTTAAAGACTTGTGAATTTTTAAAGTTAGATTTCTCAAATCTTAAACGAACTTAATAAAACATTATTGCTTCAAAAATTTCATTTAAAGTTAACTTTTTAAACTATAAGCAACTTTCAAATTTTAACATCTATTGTTTTAAAGTTTTAATTTTTTAGTTTCGGGTCGGATAAAGCAAAAGGCGTTTGATGGGGGTTTGGAGTCATTCTAACCCTAGACTAAAAGTCATTTAAAGCAAAAATATAAATAAGTAGTAAAGCGGAACAGAGAGAGGGAGAGAGAGAGAGGGAGAGATTTGGGTCCAACTTCGGTTCTGTCCGCCTTGACCGAATGTTGGACCCACCTGCTTTTGGGTTTTTAACCCGTTCACCTGTCCTAATCTAAACACATAAATGGTTACAAGAAAGATAAAAAGGACAAGAGCTTATGCCCATTACAAAGTAAAATATAACATAAAAATAAAGAAAAGGTCTTCATATCCGTCTCCTTCAAATCTCTTCACTCTTCACGACACTTCTGAATTTAACTTCATACGCCGGTTTTGATGAATTGACTCGATGAAAGACATTTAGAGCCTTTATGGCTCCCTCTTGAAATGCAAAGAGGAGAAGGGGAGCCTCACAATGGACTCGAGAGAAGATTTTCCATGCAAACAAGTAGAAATACATTAGCATACACAACGACAAAATAAATCAGATGTATTTCGAATGAAACAAAATAAATAAACATACGATTCTGAAGAAAGCCGAATAGATTAGCAAACACACTAACTTTTAAGAGTCATTAGATTTTCCCAACATGCAAAAGCCATACCAAATACAAACAGCAAATAATGAAACATTCCAGAACGTGAATAAATTAACATTCAGGGATTTGCATCATGCTGAAGTAGCAAACAAACAGTAGCTCAAATCACCAAATTGACAACTATGCTCTTTCATCCTCAACTATACGTAAAATTTTGCTACCAACATCAGGTGAGATCTTCAAAAGTCTAAACCAAACCAAATAAACATGAGAATCTGACCCGAGCCACAGATAGTTCAAACTCACTTATAATTTGAAAGCGATAAACGCCAAACTCAAAGGAGCCAAACAAGGCATTGAACAAGCCTAGTTGGTATTCCGTAGTGAGTAGTTGCAAGAAACAACACAGACTACCAAAGCTCCAACATAAAGAATGATAGCGAGCACAACAGAAACGGGACCAAACAGGACTCTAAACGAGATTCCGAATAAGCAAACTGACTCATTTGTCATATGGAAGAAATAAAACGAGGAAATTACTATATAACATAGATACAGAACACATATGAACAAACATACTTTCTTAACCGACAAGTTCAGAGAAACCACAAAACATACTGACAAAGGCCTATTTGAAGGCTTGATGGATAAACAAATGAAATCTAAATCAACGGAAAGAAACTCAACTTTACAACATTAAGAGATCAAACAGAAGGTAATACCATTATCGAGCAAACCCTATAGGACAGCCTAACCCAAAGTACCAACATGAACAATAATATGCGATATGGGAACTCAAAACGATAGCAGATGCAGTCGCTTAGATTCAGAATGTTGGCATCTTAGTTCGCTCATTAAACTCGAGGCGAAAGAAATAACAATACGATGCCGAATATCAAACAATATTGAAGAACCACAATGAATAAAAATAAATCAAGATGAAAGAATGATCTAAAAAAAACTATACCAAATATAGCTATGAAACCCGAAATATACCAAGAAAAACAAGATTTGAACTAGGAAGTAAACTCGAGACATACATTGATTGCACGTACATGCTTATCTCCTATTCCATATACAACTAACCAACAGCCTTAAAACACAAAGAACCATCATCCTTCAGAAAACTATCAGCACGACATAACCAACTGAACAAACCACTACATACTCGAATAAGTAGAAAACCAAACAAAACTAAGAGGAGCGAAGTTGTATACCTTTTCCTGGGCAGCGATACTGGAACAACTACGAGCAGCGACTTCAACAGCGACTCCACCATGACGCGAGTTTAAGAGCTCCAACGAGCAGTACAAATGCAACGGAAAGCAAAGAGACTGTGTAGATACAAATATCTCCAGGTTCGAAGCCTCGATAGCGAATTCGAAAAAAGAGAGACGGGACACTTGCTTTGTTATACTATATGAACTTAGAAACAACGAAAATTTCCAGAAAGAAAAGGACCTGCTGTGATACAAGAAAAAAATCCAAACAAAAATTTGACTTACAAAATTTTCAACCCCCTCAACGTTTGAGGGAGGGGATATTTATAGAGGGAGGCTAGGTTTTCGAAAGGTAAAAGGGCTGGAGGGAATTTTCGGCCCATCTGCTAATTCGAAATTCAAAAATCCCAAAATCTTATCCGAAATTTTGGAATGTACCGATTAGATGCTTCAGAATATCCCATTCAAACGGGTTGATGGCGAGGTGGAGGGTCGGGATGCGTTCGTTGTCCTTGCGCGCTTCGTGTCATCATCTCGTTGTTGCAAGGACGAGCAGGACGATTCCAGGCTTTTGAGGCGAGGACGACTACTGTTCCACTGTGCGCTCGTACGAGAGCGAAGAGAGAGGGAAGGAGACGTGCGACGTCGGGGACACGCGAAGAAGAAGACAAACCAGGCTGGGCATCTTCTGAGAACTCCTTGCGCGTGAGTTTTGGGAATTTTGACGATATCTGGGGAATTAATTTCACGTCTGGGAGGTTCTGTCTCTCTTGGGTTTGCGTCTGGGGGTTTCTGCGCGAGGGAGAGAGAAGCGTACGCGATTGGCTCGCGCGAGGGAGGGGGTTTGGTAGAGGGGGAGAGAGCGTGGGGGAAGACGCGGGTGAGAGAGGGGTTTTGCGTTTTTGGGTTCTGCTCTTTTCTGGTGGTGTGGATGTTGGGAAGAAGAAGGGGAGTTGGGATGGGGTCGGGTTAAGGGGTTACTGGGATGGGCCTGGGAATTGTTTGGGTTGCTTGAAAGGGTGGGCTTCTGAAGTGTGTTGGGCTGGAGGGGAGTTGGGCTGAAAATTAAGAGGGGTGGGGCCAGGATTAGTAATAGAAATGGGATGGATGTTGGGCCTAAGTAGGTAAAGGAATGGGCTGGGTACAAAATGGGTGTCAACAACTGTCCCTCATTTTTCTTGGGTTGATACAAGCAACTCAAGAAAAATGAAATTGACCGAACCCATTTTTACCAACCCCATTCATTTTCTAAAGGAAGAATTCGATAAAGAGTTCAGGCCATTTGTAGTTCGATAAGCTTGATCTACCGCGTGATTTTTAAAGAATCAAAAGCCACTTCGATACCGAATTATGAAAGTATCAAAATGCTCAAGAATAGAGTTCGAGAGCGAATGTTGGAATACATCCGAGTTTTCAACATTGAATCCGCCTACATATCCTTAAGCCTTTTGAATCAAGCTGTGTGTAGTTCGACTTGATCGGTGGAAAAGGAAATCTATTACGCTAGATAACCTTTGGTTTTGGATAAGTGACAAATTAAACGAGTATGAAAAAGAGGCTTGTAACCTCTTAGCCATGAATGTGGCGCGCTTCACACCCATAATTAAGAACTTACACGGACATAATTTCCAAAGCTCTTGGCGTATTGTCACTCAGATTGGAAACTTGCTTCCGATAAAACAAAACTTCCGGATGCGAGACAAAAACTGACAGAACTAAGAAAAAACCCGCATGCTTCGAGAGGGTGGTTCGATTGTGGTGGAAGTCACTCCTCTGCTCGCGTCCTAAGAGTGTGATATTCCTCTTTGGACTGTGTCCCGGTTCGCTGCTAAGAAAGAGTTCCACGTTGTGCTGCATCCCTTTTGATGTCGTCCGCACCTGTGGTTTTTTGGAGAATTCATCCTATTGGATGCTCTCGACAAAGACTGAGATAAAACTCGTTAGCTTAAAAATGCAATTAGGATGGGAGACAATGTCTTTTTACCATGTCGACACTTCCTTGTTCTCCTCAATATTCGACGTCGACTCGATCGGTCTGACATCTAGCAAATAAAACTTATGCCTTGTGCTTTGTAAATAAAATCTTTAGTGTACTCTTCATTTGATGCTAAAATAAATAAATAAATGTTGATGCGATATTGATGTCTCTTTTGTCGCTATCTTCGATGCTCTTCTTGATGTTTTCTTTTATCAAAATAAAGAATGCGGTTGAGGCCGATGGATAAATATTGCTCTTTCTTTATCCGTGTATGTCCTCTTGCGGGGCATAAATATCTTCTCGCAATACGTAAATTCCCGCGAAATATGAATCTTTTCGCGATGCATAACTTTCAGCGAGGAATAAAATCTTCTCGCGATGTGCAAATTTTGACGAGGCATGAATTCTTCTTGTCGTGCATGATTTCCGCAATGCATGATTTTCGCAATAAATGATTTTCACAATGCATGACCTTTCGCGATGCATGATTTTCAACGAGGCATGGATCCTTCTCGCGATGCACAAATTCCAGCGAGGTATAAATTCTTCTCGCGATGTATAAATTTTGATGAGGCATGAAATCTTTTCGTCGTGTCTAAATTTCAGCGAGACATAAAATCTTCTCGTCGTGCATGATTGTATAATTTTTTACGAGACATGAAATCTTCTCGTCGTGCATGATTGTTGACTCGCAATGCATGCTTTTTCGCGATGCATGATTCTGCGATGCATGATTCTTCAGTGTATGAATTCCGCGATGCATGACTTCTGTGATGCATGATTCCGTGATGCATGATTCTTCAGTGTATGAATTCCGCGATGCATGATTCTTCATCAGTATATGACTTCCGCGATGTATGTCTTCTGCGATGCATGGTTCTGCGATGCATGATTCTTCGGCAGTATATGACTTCCGCGATGCATGAATATTTATATCACCCCCGTGGATAATAACGGCAAGGCGATCTCCAAATAATATATCGATTTGATCGATAATGGTAAAATAATAATAGCATAAGCATCTCTTCTGAGGTAATACATTGTCTTGATCGATAATAATTATCTTGCTTTGATAATGCAATGCAAATAGCGTCCTCTACAGAAATCGTGAAATCTTTGCTGAGATTCCTGTTTGATTCACCTTTGAATCTGGCCAGACACTTTTGCAATTTTCACATTGTTGAGAATGGTTTGAAATAAACAAACACTTTCACAAGCATCTTGACACAAACTATATGAATTGCCTCCTGCTTTCAATAAGATCACTGATTTTGGAGATAGTTTTCTCCTCTTCGTGAGCTCTCCTTATTCATCCGTCGAGATAATTCTGCCGACTTCAAAGCAAAACTATAAAACTGCATCCACAGGAGAATTGTCAGTTTTAAAACATACTGATCTGTGTCGATTCCTTCAGTTGTTTGCTCTTGGTCTTTATATCTCCGGTTGATTTCCCGATTTCCCGACTCTTGATAGATAAGAAAATATATCTTACGCCAAAACAAATGAAACATAAGAGGGAAAATTTTTAAAAGAAATGAGAAATCTTTAAAAAATAGTATGTTGAAAAAGTCACTGCCAAGTCATGTCATATCAGGCTTTGCGAGCTCTTTTGAATCTGACACTTGCTGATGAGTTTCAGAGGCATTCCGGACTTGTAGGGAAGACCCATGGCGAAATTTTGAGGCCATCCTCAAAATTTCTGTCCCAGTTTACTATCTTGCTCATCTTTTCATTGTAACCGAAAAGATCGCGGAATTTTTGAGATCTTCTCAAAAATTCTGTCCCAGTCGCAAATCTCGAAATGTCTTTTGTCTGACTTGTTGATGAGGAGACTTCTTCCGGAGAATTTTTGAGTCCCTTTCAAAAATTCTGTCCCAGTTTCTATTGTAAAGTGGAATAGAAATCTTACGAGAGATATGACCGAGCCCTTGTGGCGCCTACGTATCCCGTTGAGGCAGGAATCAGGTCAAACGTAGTTCCCCTTAAAGATTAACAAGAATAAAATTTACAAAGAAAACTGACCGAGGATGACATAGGCTGCCTACGTATCTCGTTTTCGAGAATTCAGGTCAGACGTAGTTCGTTACAAGAGGGACAATAATTCAAATTGAACAAATACAAGCAAACAGAACGATTACAAGTAAACGAAGGAAAAATGTAAAGTGAAGCTTCACGCGTAGTATCTCTTGACAACATCTGAGTTGATAGGCTTGGTCTATACAGTGCCATCCATCTCGGACAAGACCAAAACACCTCCAGATAGTACTTTACGAACCATGTAGGGACCCTGCCATTTTGGTGCGAACTTTCCTTTGTGCTCGTCTTGATGAGGAAAAATACGCTTAAGAACCAACTGACCAACTTCAATATTTCTGGCTCTTACTCTTTTGTGAAAAGCGCGAGTCATTCTCTGTGTATACAACTGGCCATGGCAAACAGCGACCATCCTCTTCTCATCAATCAAAGCTAGTTGATCAATTCATTTGCTAACCCACTCAGCGTTACTTAATTCAGCTTCTTGGATGATCCTTAATGATGGTATCTCGACTTCAACAGGTACGACTACCTCTCTTCCATATACTAGCAAGTATGGAGTAGCCCCAGTCGATGTTCTGACCGTCGTTCGATAACCTAGTAGAGCATACGACAACATTTCATGCCAACCCCGCTGTTTGTCAATCATTTTCCTCAAAATCTTTTTGATGTTCTTGTTGGCGGCTTCTACAGCTCCGTTCATTTAGGGGCGATAAGTAGTTGACTTTCGGTGGATAATCTTAAATTGTTCACATATCTCTTTCATCAAATGACTATTGAGATTTGCACCGTTATCAGTAATGATGGATTCTGGAACTCCGAATCTGCATATCAGATTATTGCGGACAAAATCGGCCACCATTTTCTTGGTTACCGATTTGTAAGAAGCTGTTTCTACCCACTTGGTGAAATAATTAATGGCAACCAAAATGAATCTGTGTCCATTGGAAGCGGCTGGCTCTATATGACCGATGACGTCCATTCC